AGCAGCCTACTTGACAAACACCGAACAAACCTTTTTGACATTTGTTCACTGCCCTTGGGGCTTGGGGCCACCTTCCACAGGCTCCTCGGGTCTGCCTCTGCTGGTCCGTTTTACCTTTCGGTTTTTCGGCCGCCTGTTGGGCTCTTGGGTGTTCTGTTCTCCCTTGTTACCGGCAGGTAAGAGGCAGTTTGCACTGGTAGGGGCGCAGGGTGCTGCTCAGCTTGTAATTCCCGACATCGCGGCCGGCTCTGTTCCTTGGGGTTCGCTGTCCTCTTGCGGGGTTTTGCTTTTCTTTTTGCCTGGTGGGGGTTCTGTCATTTTATTCAGTTTGTTTTTTGCCCTTCCACTGTTCTCCTCGGTGGCGCCCCCTGCTAGTTCCCCGTGAGTGTACACGTCCCTGGGGTTCAGCTTTAGAAGTTTGCTTGGTAGTTTTGGGCGCCGGTTTGCAGCACCCTGCCTGGGACTACCTGAGCGCGAGTCCTCTTAAAGTAAACGCTCAGGACCCTGGGAATCCCCTAGGGGGCGCGTGGGTCCGATGGATGTGACCCCGGAGTCCCCACTCGCTGTGTGCGAGTTTGAGGGTTGCTCGGTCCCCTTGTCTCAGGGTGACCCTCATTGTTTTTGCCTCTGCCACGCTGCCTGTTGGGTCGGTGATACTTTCGACCCTGAGTCCTGTGAGTGTTGCTGCTTGCTTGTGACTCAATTTACCCAATCCTCTGATGATTCTATTCGGGTACAGGCGGCACGTGCGTTGCAGTCTAGGTTTCGTCTGTTGCAACGCGCTCGGTTGGTTGCTTCCCCGGATGCCCCGGGGCTGCCCCGCTTTGCTTTTCGAGACCCGGACTTGGGGGTGGGGTCGTTTCGATCCTGGTTCAGTCCGCACCTCCTCGTCCTTCCCCTTCTGTTCGTTCTGGTCCCCCGCCCCTGCTTCCGGCCCCGAAGCGTCTGAGGGTTTCGGGGTCGGAGCAGGGGTTACTTGATCTCGAGACTCGGGCAGCTTCGGGGGTTGCCCCTTCCGGGGGGCGGCAGAGGCATTCGAGTCTTGTCTCCCGGCCGAAGCTTCAGGGTCTGACCAGTGGGCCCCCCTTCCTCCAGCTTTTCCGGCTGCTCCGTCCTTGTCTTGTGGGGTCGGGGCTTGGGGAGAGGACTCGGCCTCGGGTCCTGTGGTGACGGACCTCGAGGCTGGGGAGGGGCTGACTTGGGGGCCTTGGGCCCCGCTGGACCCCGCCTGGGTTTTTCTTCCCACTGAGCGGGGCTTATTGTTACAAGGAGTGGGGTTTTCTTTCCCCCCTCTGCGTACGAGTTGGATTTGGTGTCGGCCCCTCCCCGGGTACGGTTCCGTGTTCCCCCAGGTACGTCGGTTCCGTCCTTCCGGAGGTTTTCGGCTTATCGCATCCAACCTGGTGTGGTGCGAGCGGCCTTTGCAGCTTACCTCCTGCGTGACCCGGATTATGCCTCGGAAATGGATCCGTCCACGTTCAGGTTTGGGACTTCGTTCCCTTTCTGGCTCCGTTACGAGGTTCCGGAGTCATCCTGGCTAGCAGACTGTCCCTTGTTTGGTCTGGATTCCTGGCATTCCTTCTGTCGTTCCCGCACGCTGGAGTGGCGGGAAGCTTCCACGGTGCTTCAGGTTTTCCTGGGGGGTGAACTTGAGTACCTGAATGAGTGCTTGTTTGCCCCTGCCCTTCCCCGCGATGTGGGCGTTATTCAGCTCCATGTGCAGGTTCCCTCCCTTTCGGCGGCGCTCGTGGCGGAGGACTTGCGCGCTCGGGGCCTTTTGTGTTCGGCCTTACGGTTCTTTTCCCTCCTGGAGCTGTCTTCGGATTGGCTCGTGGAGGATGTGGGGACGCTTGGGTCCGTCCCGGGTCCGGCACCTTGTCCTCGGCTGCGCGTTCGTCGGCTGCCTTGTTGAAGCTGTTCACGCCGATTTTGCGGGATGCGGTTTCCCTGTTCTATGCTTCCCGCCTCGCGTGTCGGCAGGCGGTGCTGGGTTCCTCCGTGGAATCTGCTTGGGCTCTGGCTCTTAGGCGTTCTTCCCCTTTTTGTCCTCTCCTGTTTGGGGAGTCGGCCGTGGCGCAGTTTATTCAGGCTGCGTCGGCGGCTTGTCGTCCGATGTCGGACTTGTTGGTTTTCCGGGGGTCCCGGGGTGGGTCTTCCCGGAAAGGTCGTGCCAGGGCTCGGGGTTCCTCTCGTCGTGGTAGGCCTCGGGTGTCAGGTTTGGGGTTGGCTCCTCCTGCGGACCCTCCCTCGTCTGGTCGGCGCGGTGTTCGCGCTGTGCGGGGTTCTGGGTCTCGTAAGGGTCGCCGGCCCTTTCGCGGTTTGCCCCTTTGACGGGGCGATGGGGGGTGGCTTGCGCTGTTCGCCCGCGCCTGGTCCCACGATTCGTGGGCCTTTCGGGTCGTGTCTCGCGGCCTGCGGTGGCGTTGGGTGGCCCCTCCCCCCTTTGGGGGGTCGGGGCTGGCGGGGCAGGCTTCTTCCCCTGCGCTCTGTCGAGTCGTCTTGGAGTGGGTACGCTTGGGCGTCGTCGAAACGACGTCGTCCCTCAGATGGGTTTCCCGTCTGTTTCCGGTTCCGAAACGGGACTGCGCGGACCTGCGGTTCATTCTGGACTTGTCCCGTCTGAACCCCTGGGTTCATTGCCCCTCCTTTCGGATGTCTACGCTGTCTCAGGTTCGGCTCCTCTTGGAGCCGGGTGCTTGGATGGTGTCCCTGGACCTCCGGGACGCTTATTGGCATGTCCCGATTCATCCGCGGTTCAGGGACTGGCTCGGTTTTGTAGTGGGGCGTCTGAGTTACCGCTTTCGTTGTCTCCCGTTTGGGTTGAACCTGGCACCTCGCGTGTTCACACGCCTTACACGGGTTGTGGTGGCTCGTTTGCGTCTCCTAGGTGTTCGGGTGTTGGCCTACCTTGACGACTGGCTGGTTTGGGCTCCCAGCCAGTCAGCTTGCTTGCTAGCCAGGGATTTGGTTCTTTCCCAGCTCGCCGGGTTCGGGTTCTTGTTCGGGTGGCCCGCGGATCGACGATTCGGCTCCATTCGGACTGCTCTCCGGTGGTTCATTGCCTGAACCGCGGGGGTTCGATGCGGTCCTTATCTCTTTGGGTTGGTCGCTTCGGGTGACTCGTCTGCTGAGTTCTCGGGGTTTGGCTCTCCTGGCGGTTCACGTACGGGGCGTGTCCAACATCTTGGCCGACGCCCTGTCTCGCTTCGTTCCCCTCTCCACGGAGTGGACGGTCGGCGACGAGTCCTTCCGTTGGCTTTGCCAGACGTTCGGGCGCCCCGAAGTGGACCTCTTCGCGTCGGCGTGGTCGCGGCGTCTTCCCGTTTATGCGGCGCCCTTCCCCGATTGCGAGGCCGTCGGGGTCGATGCCTTTCGGCTCGACTGGTCGAGGTGGGGATTCCTGTACCTCTTTCCCCCAGTTCGGCTGTTGCTCCAGGTCCTGACTCGCTTAGAGACTTACCAGGGGAGAGTTGTCCTTCTGGCCCCTTGGTGGCCGGCCCAGCCTTGGTTTCAGGCGCTGGTTGCTCGGTGTCCGAACCCGAGGGTTTTCCCGCGGCTCTGCCTCTTTCAGCAGATCGGGCCGGTACGTCACGTGGCTGGTTCGATCTTCTCCTCGAGTCTTCACGTATGGTTTTTTTGACTCGAGTCTATCATCATCTCTATGGTGATCGGGTGGCCTCCTTGTTGGTGTCCCACCTGAGGGCTTCTTCTCGGCGGCAGTATGAAGTTTCCTGGCGGTCCTTCCATTTCTTTTTGCGTCTTCGTTGTGTTAGCTCCTTGTCTGTTCGGGTTGTCTTGTCCTTCCTCTCGTGGTTGTTTCAGGGCCGTCATCTTATGCCTAACACTGTCGCTTTGTATCGTGTGGCGCTGGCGGAGCAGCTTCAGCTTGCTTTCGGTATCGATGTTACGTCTGCGCCGTTTTGCAAGCTGTCTCGTGCATTCTTTCACCTCCGGCCTGCTCATGCGTCGCCTGAGCCGTCCTGGTCTTTGGACAGAGTGCTCGCTTTCCTTTCATCTCCTCGTTTCGTTGTGGCCCCTTCGTCCAGGATTGTTTTTCCAAGGCACTTTTCTTGTTGGCTTTGGCCTCTGGGGTCGGGTAGGGGAGCTTCATGCTCTCCTCCGGCGCAGGGGTTTCTGCTCTTTTGGTCGTAGTGATAGTTTTGTTCGTTTGCAGCCGTCTCCTTCTTTTCTGGCGAAGAATGAGACTGCTGCGTTCCGGAGGGGTCCATGGGTGGTTGATGCTTGGTTGGTCAGGCCGGGGGTGCATCATGTTTTGTGTCCGGTTGCGGCGCTTCGCCGTTATTTGCGCGCCACAGCTTCTGTGTCCGGGGACGCGCTGTGGGTTGATCCGGTTTCCCTTCTTCCCTGTTCGCGGGTTCGGGTCTCTCAGGTCGTCCGCAGGGTTATTAGGTCTAGCCAGCCTGCGGTCTATCCCCGTGCCCATGACGTTCGTAAGTTCGCGGCTCTTGCTGCCGTCTTTGGGAATATGTATTGGTCTGATATTCGGGCGCGGGGATTTTGGCGGTCGAACAGGGTCCTGGCTGCTTTTTATTTTAAATTTCATTTCTTTTTTCTACAAAAAAGTCGATGCTTTGCAACATCACAGCATCATTAGCATCTTTAAAAAAAAAAAAAAAAATTATTTGCATCGTCAGAGGTGTCCGAGAATGTACAAGAAGCAGCGCGACCCCACCATGTAGTGTTGTCGTTATTCAAACGAGTGCTCGCCAAACGAGACCAATTGTTGACGATTGGGGTGCTCATTACCCAAATTGCTCGCCAATTGAGGCGCTCATCACTCAAGGTTCCACTGAACAGTGCAGTATTTCAGAAGTGTCTTGCATTTTAAATGTCGAGTACATTATATAAGTACTGTAAATGATTATTTCTTACCTCTTTAATTCTATACTCTTTTAAAAGTCATGGTAATTTTATTGTCAGTTCATGTTAATAAAATGTATTATTTTCAATTATGTTTATCATGATTGTTGTTTAAACAGATACTCAGCGAATTCCTTCCACCAGAAACCTGTACTACACCCACTCAGTTATCGACTACTTTTGCAAAAATTGCTCCAGCTTTATCCACTCAAAATCATAGAGAGGCCACACCTTCATCTGCATCGTCTATCATACTTCAGCCCTCAGTAACTGTGCACGTTCCGTCTCCCTCCATGAATAAGGAGATTGAACGCGGGGTAAAACGACAGGCAGTAATGGAGCAGTACATAGAACAGTTAAGAGAGAAGGAGAGTTTTGATGAAGACTACAGGAAAAGAAAAGAAAGAAGAGAAAGATTGAAAATTCGGGCCTTAAGAAAGATTGGGAAAGAACTTCAAACAATAGCAAAAACTCAATGTGAAATACTTAAAAAACAAGATCAAATATTACAAGCGATAAAAGCATCAAAAGTTTGACAAATTTGTTATGTATGATAACCTTAAATTATGCAAAAGCCATGTACGCTTGTAATATGCAAGTTTATCTACGGATGAATTTTGTATGTACAGTATATAAATAAGTATTTAGTCATTAAAAAATATATATACTGTGTGTGTGTATATATATATATAAATATATAAAATATACTGTAGTACTGTATAATGTATTTGCATCTTCTGTTTTCCTTTTATTCATTCCCACCCGAGAAAGGTAATTCATAGGCTAAGCTTGCGGGATGCAACTTGGTCTTACATCACCATGTGTTGTAGAGTGAGGGAAAGTGTAATCACAAAATAGTCAAATCTAAAGTGATTGCAAACATAACTATCATCTCTACTTTAACATATCACACAAAAGTCTTCAAAGTTGATTAACTAAAATAATTCTCCGAGTAACATTCCCCGAGATAACCTTTGAAGTGCTGCTTTAAGTACAGTAATGGACCTTGTCTGTCAAGGTAACCTCAACATTTTTCTTGTGGTTATCTTCAGTTTTTTCTCACTAGAGAACCCTTGACCTCCCCCCCATCTCCAAAGATAACCCCTCAATGCTCATCCCTTAGAATAACCCTCATCTGAAATAATACTTGACCTGTATTGCCCTATCAACCTTCAACTCTGACACATTGTGCTGCCTCTGCCAAGTGTAATCTTTTACCGTTGTACCTTCAACACCAAGTGTTCAGGCAGTACATTTGTAATTTCTTTATGCCGAACAGTACTGTACGTGAAAAGTGTAAATGTGGATTGCTATGTACAAATAATTAGTTATAAAAAATATTGTATAATGACTTGTGAAGTTAAATAGATCTTAGGTAATGGTTTATGATCATGACCAGATTTGTTAAGCCAAAATAGTTTTTATTTTTAATTATAAGCATGTTAGAACCAAATTCATATACATTTTCAATGTTTGGAAATAAATTTCATAGCTGAGTTAGTCATTAACTGTGTGTGTTTTAATGTTTTATTATTCTATTTTCAATTCAGTAATAAGCTTAAATGTGTTACTGCAAAATGTTAATATATTTGTAACAAGTCAAATCAGTTTATTTTACCATATATCACAGATGGCAGTCTCATTGTTTATCAAATAATTTTGATAAATTTGAACCGTGTATTTTATAAGCAACATTATTTACAGTTAGAAGAATTGAGAAGCCCATCAAGCAGGTAGATGGTTAATGCTACAAAAGTGGGTTACACAATGATCATAGCAATCATAGCTAAGATCAGTGATCTTAGCTGGCTCCTCTCCCTCCTCCCCGGTGGGTAAGAAGGCTTCGCTTTCTTCCTCGCCCCCTACCTCTGACTCTATTGCTCCATCCCCTCCCGTTTCGGTGGTTGCGCCCCCTGTTCCTGCTATGGAGGTTTCTGCAATGTCATTTCCTATTATTCCCATGTTACTTGGCACCCAGATGATAAGTACTCATCGTCCTTGACATTTGAGTGTTTGCATTAATGATATGACATTTGTAATCAGATGGATGTTATCACATGTGTTCTTGTTGCAAGGTTTCAATGGCAGTTCTCGAATCTGTATGTATGATAAAATGTTGTTGGTGTTCAGAAAGAGCATGCTCCAAGGCCTTTTGAATGGCTAGCATCTCTGTAAAGTCGAACACCCATTTGAAAGTCTCCAACTATTTATAGTTTCCTGTTTTAACTGCAGCTCCGTTTTTTTTTTAAAGATATATACAAACGAGTTGTTACATTCCTGTACAGCCACCAGTACACGTAGCATTTCGGGCAGGTCCCTGGAATACGACCCTCGCCGCATAGAATCGTTTTTACAACCAAGTACCCATTTTACTGTTGAGTTAAACAGAGGCTACAGTTAAGGATTTGCGCCCCGTTTCTTGTCCCTGCTGGTCTACTGATACATCTGTGAAGTATGTGAAGCTGTCAGATGCCAAGTTTGCTTCTATATGCATCTGTGCAATATTACGTAGCAGATGACGATTAGTCCGGGTTTTTTTTCCTTCGAGAGTCAAAATCTTAGTCTGCTGGCGGAGATTCCCAAGGGGCTTGCATAACAAAGTCTGCATGTATTTCATCGACACCCCTCAGTGATTGTGTATGTTGTATCGAATGTATTGATGGTGTTTATCGCACAATGGGTCCACCTGTTGTTAATGGAGGCTCTTTTGTCCCGAGTTAGTGCTCTAGTGATTATATCTTTTAAGTGAACTGATTCTAGGTCTAGTCAATATCTTGGTCAGCATGCACGCAGCAATCCCTTACCCTTATTTCAAAAGACGTTAGCTTGGTTTCTATTCTTAGGTTCAGTATTTTAGTTCATCTGGGAGCCCCTGTTATGACTCGCACTGCATCATTTTGCATAACCTCAACGTTTGCCAACTGACTAGGAGAAAGAGTGAGTAAGGCAGGCGCTGCATAATCAACTAAGGAACGAGCGGAGTGTATGTAAAACATTCTTAACACTTTGTGTCCCGCTCCTAGACGGGGCCCTGTGACTGCTCTCATTAATTATTCAGTCGTGATTTTGCTTTCTCCTTCAGATATTGAATTTGCTTGTTGAATGTCATTTTAGAATCGATCCATACTCCGAGATATTGATATTGTGTAACCCACTGATGGTTAATGTCTTGAATGCGTAGGTGCCTGTCTGGAGTGTTGCCGCCTAGTCTCATTGCCTTAGACTTCTGTGCAGATATTTTTAGCCCTAAAATGCTGCATTCAGATATTACTTTATCTAACGCCCCTTGTGCTTTATTTAGAAGTGGAGGACCTGTAATGACTAATGCTATATAATCAGCATAGCTTAGCAATTTAACCCCTTCTGCAAATGTCATGGTAATGAGGTTTTCCATAAGGATGTTCCTAGTAATGTTGCTATGCAGTTGGCAGTATCTAGTGAAGCTAAATATGTGTTTATGAAGGTCTCCAGTCTTCCACAGTAGCCTATTTAAGACCATCCATTCTGCAGTTTTACTAATGCATGATGTTAATGAAATGGGTCTGTAATTGCCAGGTTCTTTCGGCTTAGGAATTGGAATGATGTTTGCTTTCTTCCAAGAGGTCGGTAGTATGCCTTGCTGCCAAGATGCATTGATGACATCCAATATTTCTTGTTCTCCAGCAGGACCTGCATGTGCGATCATTGAGTATGTAATGTTATCAGCACCTGGTGCAGTGTCCTTACCAAATGGCTGTCAATCTCTTGTTTTAATTGTTCTTGCTGCCTTCTGACCATTACAGGAAGCTGATATGAAGCCTCTCTTTCTGCAAATTGGAGAGCAAGTCTTTCAGCCTCCTGCAATGGTTGAATACATGCCTGTGGTCGGCCTGGTCGTCCTGATATGGTTTTAATCTGACCCCATATCTTGCCAAGACTACTATGTTCATTTAGAGTTTGACACCACTCAAACCATCTTGACTCCTTTACTTCTAGAAACTCGCCTTGCTTCAGATATCACTGCTCTTAGCAGAGTTCTTCCTTCTGGTGTGGGGTTTCTCTTTAGTTGTTTTCTGAAGATGTTAACTCTGTGGTTTTGTTCTTTACCTTCATTACTATAGAACCAATAGTTCTTTCATTTTGTGTTCCCTGGGATAATGATTGGAATAGCTTTGTCTGCAGCAGCTGCAATGGCTTCCTGCAGATTTGTCTCGTGAATGTTCAAATCTTCAGGTGGCGTGTATGGTGTATTCCATTTTTCAAATGCCTCTGTATATATTCCAGTTTTTTTTTTCTAAATTCCACCTAGGTTGTGCAGGTGGTGTAGGAGGTCGTTCTATGTTTAGTGTTGTGACAGTAGCATAGTGGTCACTGGTGATCACCGGGTCTACCTCCCACTTCGCCTGATACTCGAGTGCTATTGAGATTAATGTAAAATCAAGGGAACCTCCTTAAATATGAGTGGGTTCCCCAGTGATGAGAAGTGTAATTTCAGGTACTTCTTGCAGAGCTGCAGCAAAATGGTGCCCGATCTGCATTGGCTGGCCCAGTCGCACCTAACTCTTGGTGATGAGCATTAAAATCCCCAGCAATTATTACATTTGCATGTGTGGCCAAGGCAAGCCCCGCCTCTGCTTCTAATTTACGTCTAGGGGGCTTGTAGACGTTGTATATGAGGAGCTCAATATTAGCCATATTCACTGTTACTGCTAATACCTCTACTCCATCCCCACATGGAGTAGAGGGAGCCGGCCAGTCGAGCGGACAGCACGCTGGACACTAGATCCTGTGGTCTCGGGTTCGATCCTGGGCGCCGGCGAGAAACGATGGACAGAGTTTCTTTCACCCTATGTCCATGTTACCTAGCAGTAAATGGGTACCTGGGAGTTAGTCGGCTGTCACGGGCTGCTTCCTGGGGTGTGTGTGTGGAAAAAAATAGTAGTAGAAACAGTTGATTGACAGTTGAGAGGCGGGCCAAAACAGCAGAGCTCAACCCCCGTAAGCACAACCAGGTGAATATATGAAACTGGGTCTATTTTCTTGCTGGGTATGGTGTTTTTGACTAGGGTCATTAACCCCCTCTGTCCTGCTCATACGGTATAATTTAGTGCTGATATCCAGCTAATCTGGAGGACTTCGTGGCTGGAAAAAACCCAGTTGCTTCCAAAACGATTATATCTGCTTTCATACTGGTTGCAGCTTCCTGAAGGGTGTGATTTTTATGTCCAAGACCTTGAATGTTCCACTGTAGTATTCGTAATGGCCAGACGACGGTTTCGGTTGGTGTTGCCTGTTCTACTAGAACTCTTCGGAATCGACCTCTATATTCTCCACCTCGCAAGTCGTGTCGCTGCAAATCGGACTGCACTGATTGCTCATGGTTATCCCCCTGCATTTTTTTTAATTTGCATAACTGGGTCCATCGCTTTGCTGTTGGTATTGTTGCACATCGGACTGCATTGATTGTTCGTGGCTGGCTCTTGTGTTGTTGGGACCTGTGCATCTCTGCTGTTCAATACGTCTTTGTTGGTGTTGTTGCATATCAGACTGCATTGGCTGTTGTTGTCTGTCTCTTGTGTTGTAAGATTCTGTTGATCTTGGGTGGTCACTGCTTCTTGCAGTTGCTTTTGTGAATGTTGATGGTCTGGTGTGTTGACTACCCGACTGTTGTTGGTAATCCTTATGTCCATGTTGCGTTGTTTGTTCTCTTGTGCTTTATCTTGTCTCAGACTGTCTGTGTCTTGTGTAACTGTGGTCTGCTGCACGATCTTGTCCATTATCACATAAGTGATTTCTTGAGTCTGTTTAGCTAAATGAATTGTGGGGTTCAGTCCCTGAGCCCATTATGTGCCTCTGTAACCCTTTCCACTACCGCCCACAAGATGGGTATGAGGTTACCTTGAGGTTACCTTGAGGTGCTTCCGGGGCTTAGCGTCCTCGCGGCCGGTCGTCGACCAGGCCTCCTGGCTGCTGGACTGGAGGCCAGTCCAGCAGGCCAGGAGGTGCATAATAAATGAACTAAACTAACTTGAGTCTGTTGTTGTGAGGCGTTCTGCATCATCTGTAGATAATTGATAATGGTGTCTGCCATGATCTTCATAATGTTTTTCAGTTGGAGTTAGTTTAGTTCATTTATTATGTACCCCATACCCATCTTGTGGGCGGTAGTGGAAATGGTTACAGCTGGACCTCAGTAAAACTGTAAATTTGTTGTGTTATTTCAGAAAGTAATTGTTTTTTTTTGCGTTTGTTGTATTTCTGCAGCATTTTTTGTGTATTTTCTGGTTTGGAGTTGATAGATTCGGGAAATTTTGTTATGTGAGTGTGGGTCTCTGTTGTGGCTGTGCACGGGTGTTCCAGACGTTGGTGTTAGTGTATGTGGTGCTGGTCTGTGTGTTTATCCTGGCCTGAGCTGTCTGCACTTTTTCTTTCCGTGCAGAGCAGGTTGTGCTCCAGGCATGATGTTTGCCTCCACAATTTGGACATATGGCTGTTGTGGTCTGGTTTGCCTTGTGCTTGGCTATACAGTCTTTGGTTGGCTGCACACTCCGCATCTCTCCTGTCTGGTGCAGCGTGATTGATGGTGGCCGTATTTCTGACACCTGAAGCAGCGCAGGGGTTCCGGGATGTATGGTCTCTGGCGGTATATTCCTCAATTTCCAAGATTAAATGTTTCTGGCACATGTCCCATGACGGTCACCAGAACCTGACGTGTCGGTGCTTTGTCTACTTTTGTGCGGCATCGTTCCGCATTCAGGATTTGCTTGTGTTCTAGTACTGGATCTGGTTCTAGTATGGGGAAAGTCGATTGGGTATTCCAAAAGCACGGCTCGTGTGCGTCTTTCTGAAGGGGTCCAGCTTTTCCAAGCATACAGGTTTCCCTTGCAGGACTCTTACCTTTTCTAAGTAATTTGCAGTCTGTTGGGGCTCGTGGTGTTATTATTATTTCTTCTTTCAGGTTGACTGTGATGGAAAGTTTGAGTTCTGGTTGTTCCTTTTCCATTGTCGTTACTACTCCATATGCTGTAGGAAAGTGGTCTGTCTGCATTATCTTGAATTTTGGAAAATGTGCAGTGTGTGGCGATGTCTGGTGTGAGACTGGTGGTGTCCTCTCCTGTCTCATACTGTTGTCCTGTGACTGGGCTGTGGAGAGAGGTACATTGTCTGACACTGTCTGGTGTGTGAATGGTGGTGTCCTCTCCTGACTTATACTGTTGGCCTGTGGCTGGGCTGTGGAGAGAGGTACATTGTCTGACACTGTCTGGTGTGTGAATGGTGGTGTCCTCTCCTGACTTATACTGTTGGCCTGTGGCTGGGCTGTGGAGAGAGGTACATTGTCTGACACTGTCTGGTGTGTGAATGGTGGTGTCCTCTCCTGACTTATACTGTTGGCCTGTGGCTGGGCTGTGGAGAGAGGTACATTGTCTGACACTGTCTGGTGTGAGACTGATGCTGTCCTCTCCTGACTTATACTGTTGGCCTGTGGCTGGGCTGTGGAGAGAGGTACATTGTCTGACACTGTCTGGTGTGAGACTGATGCTGTCCTCTCCTGACTTATACTGTTGGCCTGTGGCTGGGCTGTGGAGAGAGGTACATTGTCTGACACTGTCTGGTGTGTGAATGGTGGTGTCCTCTCCTGACTTATACTGTTGGCCTGTGGCTGGGCTGTGGAGAGAGGTACATTGTCTGACACTGTCTGGTGTGAGACTGATGCTGTCCTCTCCTGACTTATACTGTTGGCCTGTGGCTGGGCTGTGGAGAGAGGTACATTGTCTGACACTGTCTGGTGTGTGAATGGTGGTGTCCTCTCCTGACTTATACTGTTGGCCTGTGACTGGGCTGTGGAGAGAGGTACATTGTCTGACACTGGCTGGTGTGAGACTGATGCTGTCCTCTCCTGTCGTCTTGTGGCTGGGTTGTGGACAGAAGCATTGCCTGACACTGGCTGGTGTGTGACTGGTGCTGTCCTCTCTAGGTCCATTATGTCTGCTGTCTTGCTGGTAGAAGCACGTGGTGAAGCTTCGATAGCAGCTTTCATCGGTGCCTGCTGCACCTCGGTCGACTGTCCCTCCTCGTCTGAAAGCTGCCTCCATTGCCTCTTTCTCTGTGACTTCCCCTTGACTCTCCACGTAGTGAGGACCAATTCACTGCCCTACCTAATACCCGAGACATTCCTAGACCTGGAGAAATTTATTCCCCTCCAACGGAGGTCGTAGAATGATTCCCCCAGGTGGAATCAGGGACACCTAACACCTAAATGAGCTGTTTGGTCTACCTTTCTCTGAAAAGGCTCAGTACACCTTCTAAAGTGTACTGCCCCCTTGTGGCGATGCCCACAGAGTATTACCTCGCCCTTCAGGGAAGGACTCCCTGAAGGACTCTCAGGACCAAGTGACCTGGTCAATGATACGGTCCTCACACAAAAAAACAAAACACGGTCATGGGTGACGAGAGTGCGGTACCAGAGTTTGGGTCGCCTGCATACTGGGTTGCATAGACTACCAGTCAGCTGGATAGCAGGTAATCAACAACGTTGTTTATCCATCAATTATAGACGAAATCGGAATTGTTTCCTTCTAAACAAGATATTGTCTGAGTCTTGGAGTATTGATGTATTCTTCCTCATAAAACTGCGATGATTTGAGCTGATGGGTGCTCAGTATCGTAAGTTTTTCCGGGAACAAATCTGTGTGCGGCCGCCGGCAACGAGTCTTTTTTTTTTTATAATTCATTATTTACAACATTATTTAATGTGTGTGGGTTGGGGTCTGAGTAGATAAGGGTAGTATTATCAGCAAATAATATAGGTTTAAAGAATATTAGAGACAATAGGCAGATCACTGATGTATATAAGAAATAGAAGAGGTCCTAGGATGCTGCCCTGTGGCACTCCTACGGTTAATGGTAGAATGGGAGATGTTATATTATTGATAGCTACATATTGGTGTCTGTCACTAAGATAGGATCAGATATAGTTCAGGTCAAGGCCTCGGATACCATAGTGGTGGAGTTTAAGTAAGAGGTAGTTACGGTTAACAGTATCAGAGGCATTTCTCAGGTCAATGAAGAGTTCAATCGGAAACTCATTATTGCCAAGGGCTGTGTAAATTATATTAAGCAGACTAATAATTGCATCATTGGAACTTTTTTTTTCGGAGCGAAAGCCAAACTGACAGGGACTTAGTAAGTTGAATTTTACGAGGGAGTAGAAGTGGAACCTGTCAGAAAATTTGGATAAAATGAAACATTCTTTACAATAACTACCACAAAGATATGGCAAAATATTAGTAAATATAAGGTAACCGTTTATTATTATGACTCAAACTAATTTTAGTATAGGAGTATGAGAAAAATATATTAATCAAGTTCGTTAAAACGAGGTTTGTTTAATGTTTGATTCGTTTATGAAAGGAGAGGAGGAGAGAAGGAGGATCAGGTGCCGGCGGGGAGAATTAAGCCCCCAAGACGCCCGGGAGGAGGACCGGATCCCACTTCACCAATACAAACAACCCCCACTACGAGAGCTGCGAAGGTCTCCCAACTCCACCTTCCTCACACGTTTATGTATTGTAATATACATAACGTTAATAAGAGGGTATAACGTGTTGCAGTTAATAGTAAAGTAGAGTTGGGTAGGAGTGTTAGTGGTGTGTTTTATAGCGTTGTGGAGGCGGGCGTGAGGAGTGATAGTTGTTGGGGAGGAGGGAGAGGTCTCGCCTCCCGCCGCCCCCGTCACACCTCCACCATGCTTTCGTAAATGTTGTCCCTAGTACGCATGTGGGATGCTTGATGGATTTCACTATATTTTATCTGCGATTTTGGCTTTATGGCCTTAAAAATGACTTTATGAGAGAGGTCAGTGACTAGTGTACGGAGTTAGGTGAGAAGATCGTTGGATCAGCGCGTGAGAGGTGGGAGTTGAGTGTAAATATTGTCGGGTGTGAGGGGGAGAATATGGCGACGCACACACACACTTGTGCTCCCGCTCCTAGTGTTGCTAAAGACAAGACTGCCACCTCATCGTGGGCTGGCATTGTTGGTGGAGGCAAGAGTGACCTTGTTGGGGATAATGGGAAGGTGCCTGTAGAGGAGAAGCAGGTGACTAGTGAAGGTAAGGAGGTGGCAGCTGGTCCCGGGGAGGCTACACCTGCTGGTGGTGGTGGGACGCCCAACATTACCGGCGCCCACGACCTCGACCCCGAGGAGCTGGCACAGTTCACAGAAATCCGCACCAAGAAGGATCGCTCCAAGAAGAGGGATGGTGTGCGTGGCTGGAGGAGGGAGAGGCGGGGGGGACGCAAGGAGTATGCAGACTGGGACCCCAGACATGTTGACAGAAGTGAAGGCAGCTCTAGGGGCCGGGGAAAGAGACAGGTGAAAGAGATGACGCCCAAGCTGATGAACGGGCCCCTCGAGGTGGACGAAGAGGTTGTCGAAGAGGCAGAACGCGGTGCCGAACCGGAGACCGAAGAAGAAAAAGTTCAGTATGTGCCGGCGCCCGCGCCTAGTGTTAACATATGGGAGAAACGCCAGAGTGGCCCCGTACTTGTTGGGGTTGATGCTTCGGATCCAGCTGGCGGAGGTGAGTACAGACGAATGTCTTGTTTAGCGAGTGGTCGTTGTTTGCGAGTCAGAGATACTACTCTTGACTTTGTATGGGTGTTTTTGTTTTTTTTGCTTTTTTGTGTATCCAGATGTAACCCAATCCAATTTGACCTTATTCTGTCTTGACCTAACACTGCCAGACCTAAAAGTAACGTGCATCTTAACTAGAGATGTAGGCAGGATGCAGTGCACATCATAGTGGACATGCTTAGTGCCTTTTCATTAATACTTGGAGAATTTTGTTGAACAGTCTTGGGCCCTTGATGTTCATAGAGATCTCTCGTTGTACCTATTGCACCTTTGCTTTTCAACGGGGATATTCTGCACATCTTGCCATGTCTTCTGGTCTCGTGTGATTTTTTTTCTGGGTAGATTTGGATAGATACCCCTAATATTTTCCAGTTGTAAATTATTATGTCTTTCCCCTCATGCACTCTAGCGAATACAGATTTAAACATTTTAATCAGTCCTAATAATTTATACTTTATAATAATAATAATTTATTTGCAAGAAGGTACAATAGGTTGGTGAGATTACATAAGATTGGTATTTTTACATTCTTGCAAAGCACCACATTTTGGGCAGGTCCTTAAACTAACATATCAGGTAAGATGAAAGGGTACATTGTAGCAAGGTTTTTATATTGACAAATACTGTAACTACAATATAAGGTGAGAGAGGTGATTACACTGGTAAGGATATATGTCTTAAGTATTGTGGAACCTCGGTTGACGAATGCTCCTCTTTATGAATTTTTTGGTTTAGGAACTCAATTTCTTAATAAAATTTGATTCGGTATACGAGCTTTGCCTCGCTTGGCTTGCTTGTTGATACACATATGGGTCGACCGAGCATGTGGTTCTTGGTGGTACGGACGAGGCGCTCTTCAGTTTACCAGTGTCTCCCGCCTAGTGATGATTGCGTTGAATTCTTTGTGAAGAATTTAATTGTATTTGTGCTTTTTTGGTTTCTGAACATAAAAGTAATTACTGTATTATATATCAAGCCATAGGTCCCAAGAAAGTCAGTGGTAAGGGTCAACCTAAGAAAATAGTTGAGTAGAGGTAGTAGAGGATGTCCTGTCCTCATTAAGAAAATGTGTGCAGTATGGGAAGAACTGTAAAGTTTTGCTGAAAAGACTCGCCCAGATCAAGCTGTAACAGGCTGCTGCATTGACCTTTTTAATGAGAATGTGATGTCTCCCTACAGAGACATCTGACAGACATCACAAGTGTTAAAATGTAGGGAAAACAAGTGTAATTAGACAGACTCTTAGTAAGATAAGCAAGCAGTGAGTCACAACCACGTCCTAGTGGTATGCCTGCAAAACAGGAGAGAGAGTACCCCAGAAATGTCATCACTACCTGACATTATAATGGAAGGGGACTCCCCTTCCAAACACTACTACCAACACCTCCCCCCCCCCCTCATCATCTTCCATACACTAAGGAGAGTCCTCATTAAAGGCAAGATACACTTATACATACTGTAGTACAGAATACAAATACAGTGGTACCTCAGCTTATGAATTTAATCTGTTCCCGCAGACAGTGTGTAAGCCAAAAATTCGTAAACTGAAGTGAATTTTCCCATAAGAAATAATGTAAATTGAATTAATCCGTTCCACACTCCCCAAAAAATTAACTTCAAAGTAAATTTAATACCTAATTTGCCCAAATCCTTAGTACTAAAGTATGTACTGTAAAAGTTATTGCTTACCTTTATTGATAACTCTTGTTGGCGTATGGAAGATGGTGAGGAGGGGGGGGGGGAGAAGAGGTGTTACTGTTTAGGAGTCCCCTTCCCCTGCTAAAATCCACTCAGTAAAACATCTAAACTACTGGGACCAACTAAAAAGCCTAAATTTGTATTCTCTTGAGTACAGGCGGGAGAGATACATAATAATCTATATGTGGAAAATATTGGAGAGGCTGGTCCCAAACCTGCACACAGAAATAACACCACATGAGACCAGAAGGCATGGCAGAATGTGCAGAATACTCGCATTGAAAAGCAGAGGTGCAACAGGTACTCTGAGAGAGAACTATCAACATCAGAGGTCTGAGACTGTTCAACACGCTTCCACTACACATAAGGGGCATAACTGGCAGACCCCCCGCAGTGTTCAAGAGAGAACTGGATAAGCACCTCCAAAGGATATCTGATCAACCAGGCTTTTATTCATACGTCAGGCTGCAAGCAGCCGCGTCAAACAGCCTGGTTGACGAGTCCAGCAATGGTTGATGACCGGGCCGCGGGGATGCTAAGCCCCGGAACAACTCCAAGGTAACTCCATTATTACATCAGGCAGTGATGACTTTTCTGGGGTACTCTCTCTGGCCTGTTTTGCCTGCATACCACTTGGACCTGCTTGTGGCTCACTGCTTGGTTTTCTCACTAAAAATCTATAGAGGATTGTTTTCCTACATTGTAACACTTGTCTGTAGTGAGGCATCAGTGTCATTTAAAAGGTTAATGCAACGGCCTACTACACCTTGCTCTGGGCGAGTAGTTTCAACAAAAGTTTGCATTTCTTCCCACAGTCTACATCACTTCTTAATTGTTGAGGAAGGTACATTCTGCACTCCCTCTTTCTCTTCCCCTGAAGACATTTCCTCAGCTGCCTTTTGTTACTGCTCAATGTGGTCATTCTCACATGTGTTTTCTTGGCTAGAACCTTACCACTGGCTTTCTTGGGACCCATGGCAAGATATATAATAATAACTTTTAGGTTCAAATACCCAAAAATCTGAAAAACACTGAAATTCTTTACAATGAATTCAGGCACGATTGTCACTAGGTGGGAGGCACTGGTAAACTGAGGCACCGTGCCTCGGTTGCCTCTTCAGGGGCAAAGTTCGTAACCCAATTCGGATTTTACAAAGAAATTGGGCTAGTAACCCGAAAAGTTCGTAAAGAGGGGCATTCGTAAGCCAAGGTGTCACTGTTGTTGTTGTATGTATAAAATGTATTTTTAAGTTAATATTTTTGAGGGTGTTGAACTGATGAATTAAATTTACATAATTTCTTATCGGAAACTTTGTTTCAGTTTACGAACCGTCTCTGGGAATGGATTAAATTTAAAAACGAGGGTACCACTGTACAGTTCTAATATTGGGGAAGTGGGTAGTACAAGATAGTGTGAGTTTGAAACACATGGTAGGAAACTATGAGGATTAGGATGAGGAAATTTGGTACTTTTGGTTTTATTTTTGAACAGGGCATGGGTTGGACAATTTTTTAATTCATCAGGGAGTGAGTTCCAAAGACCGGGTCATGTTATTTGCATAGTGTTTGCATGGATTTAGTCCGAATGGGGATATCAAAGAGATGCAGTATTTATTTCTGGTGTAGTGCTCCTGGGTTCTATTACACCTATCAAGGAAAAGTTTCAGATCAAGATTAACATTTACAAACAAGGTTTTGTACATGTAGATAGCACAAGAGAATGTGTGGAATGAGTGTATGTTTAGCATGTTAAGGGACTTAAACAGAGGGGCTGTGTGTTGTCTAAAGATAGTGTGTTATAATTCTGATACCAGATTTTTGCTGAGTGAAAATAGGCTTGAAGTAATTTGCAGTGGTTGAACCCCATGCACAGATACTGTATGTAAGATAGGTATACCTTACCTTGAGGTTACCTTGAGGTTACCTTGAGGTGCTTCCGGGGCTTAGCGTCCCCGTGGCCCGGTCGTCAACCAGGCTTCCTGGTTGCTGGACTGATCAACCGGGCTGTTGGTCGCGGCTGCTCGCAGCCTGACGTATGAGTCACAGCCCAGTTAATCAGGTATCCTTTGGTAGTGCTTGTCAAGTTCTCACTTGAACACTGTGAGGGGTCGGCCAGTTATGCCCCCAGGTATTGATTATCATATAGTATAATAAGAGGAGAGCAGAGTGGGGAATATAATACCTGATTTTAGAAAGTATACAGACTGTTTTTGAGAATGTTTTGGCTGTGTTGTAGGTGGGTGGTGAAGTTCAGTCTCTTGCCTATGTATAAGCCAAGAAACTATTCCCTCATTTTTTTGGGTAATGCTAACATTGTCTATCTGAAGTTAAATCTGTTTTGATGATTTACTACCCGATAAAATGTAGGTGTTTGTTATGTTTAGTGTAAGTTTGTTGGTTGACTTGCATAAGTGTATTTTTTAATTCACTGTTGACACTACAGTATTTTATTATTTAGTTTGTAGGGGTTGGGGTCAGAATAGATGAAGGTAGTAGCATCAGCAAATTGTATATGTTTTAAGAATGTTAGAAAAATTTGGCAAATCATTGTTGTATATAAGAAATAGGAGAGGTACCAAGATGCTGCCCTGTAACACCCCTACTGTCAATGGTAGAGTGGGTAGAGTTATTGAGTGGATTCTAGTAGTGAAGAACTTTTGCATGCTCTCCAGGTCAACAATTTCACCAGCTTTGAATATGGTTGTTTTTGTGCAACAATATCCCACCCTAGAGAGCACTAGTGTCTTGAAAAGTATCATTGGTATGATATCATTTGTTTGAAAGGTTCTTGTTATTCAACCTGTCATTTTTCTTGCAGTTGTGACAGCTGTTTATGTTCTTTGAAAGTAAGGTCTTCCAACATGATTGCTCCCAGATCCTTTACATTGCCTTTTCTTTCTATAGTATGATTTGACTGCATTTTATATGGGATTTCCATTATTAGATTTTTTTTTTTTTTTTTGCATAGTGCAGTAGCTGGAACTTTATTAAACATATTTTCTGTGGCCCATCAAGATGGGTCACAAAAGGAATTGGACCACAGAAGGATGGGCAACAAAAGGGATTACGTGTACTGTACTGGCAAAGTAGGGAGATAGATCTTTAATTTCCTAATGAACAGAACCCATAATGTAATAGTCAACAAACGAAAAACCAGATCATCCATTGTGAAAAGTTCAGCCCCACACGGTAGCCACAAGGCAAGGCAGGCACATGGTACTGTGCTTGCTCTTGTACTTTCTCATCCTA